CAGGAAATGGCTTAATTCTGCTCTCGACACCTTTAAACCAACCCACAGTGGTAAATGCACCAAGGCCTCTTCGTTCTACCGTGTCTCCTCTTTATTCTTTTTTGGATCCACAGCAACTTTGCCTTAAACAAGTTGAGAAAATGCCCTGGGGGAGCAATAACGCTGGGGGTACATTGGAGTGTCTCTTCTGAGGTCCACAGAGCAGTGGCCGGGGTCTTGCCAAAATGCCCTTCACCCTACAGAAATTCTTCATGAACAACAGGCAAGTGATCTGTCCTCGCTATAACCTCCACTCAAACATCCCTGGTTAAACCAACTAAAACTCATTTAAAACCACATGCAAGAAGTTTTTCACTTAAAACCTTCCCAAATGCTTCCTGGAAGAAGCTGGCAGCTCACACCTGCCTGTCTCCCCCATCGTCCACCCCTGGCCTGTGCCCATCTCTGTCACCTCTGCAGGGTGACACCAGGCTCCCCATCCAGCTTTTGAGGTTACAAACACTTTATTCCGTGTTGTACAGCCTGGAACAGGCCCCCTGACCTCAGGCAGGGGCTCTCAGCATCCTGGTGGCACACAACAGTCAATGCCAATGTCTACAGTTGCCCAAACAAGCCCTTTAACCACCCTGCAGAGCATCACATCCCGGCCACTGCAGTAGGGCCAGGCAGTTGTGCCTCGGAGCCCCCCAGCCCCGAGGAGCCGCCTTCCCCGCGCAGGTGAATGGAAAAGCTGCTGCAATAAATCCAGGGAGATCTCTCCTGATACCGAGCATCAATTTAGACTCCTCTCCAAAAGTCCAGAGAAAGCACCATGGTGGGGAAACAGCACCTGAACTGGTTTGATTTGTGCCTCATTAAAGAAAAAATCTCCCCTGGAGTAAGTGGTGTCTCCAGTGTCCCCCCGGCGCCTGTTCCTGGCAGTGGGACAGTGGTGTCCAGCGGTGACTGCAGCCTCCCGCGGTGGCCGTTTTTTTTCCCCCGCCGCCTGTCATAGAGTTCCTGCCAGCAGGAAATGGCTCAGCAGGACACGAATCCCGGCCCCCAGAACACTGAGTAGCAAAGGGCTTTGTTAAATACGACCAGTGGGACAGGTTAGACAAACCGTGACTGGAGGTTCCCCTGGCTGCAGAAAGCCAGGCAGGTTCTGAATCAGTTTGATGGTTTATGGATTTGAAGCTGCTCACATGTGGGATTTGGTCCCTCGCCCTCAGCACAGCCTCAGCATGGCCAACCATGTCCATTCTCTTGCCTCTTCCCTCAAACATGCACCCCAAGACCTGGGCAAAGCCCAGCACCGAGGCCGCTGACCCCACCGGTTCCTGGAGGTGGCCTCACGCTGTGAGACCCGACGTGACCCTTCCTTTGCCGCCTCATCCAGATCTCAGGTGCTCACACACACGTTTGACTCGGGCAATTACCCCGCTCCTATGATTTTCAAACATGACTTTTAAACATAAATAGTAACTACAAAGGGGCGTGAATAACAACTGATGATCAAGATGTTACAGTTACTCCAGGCAAATATGTGGATTTTTTTCCCCCAGGTAACACCAAAAAACCCCCATGTTAAGTTCAGTTTATCTTCTCATCTGCTCGTGGCCATTCTCTTCAGCAAAGCGGTTCAATCCCTCTGCAGCACGTGCTGGAAAGGTCCTGAGGGAACGAACTCTGAAGTGCATGAGTTGCTCTGCACCCAAAGACATAATCAAACGTGGATTTTAACCCTGGTTATGACTGTCTCACCTGATTTCCACACCTGCAACAACAATCCTCCTGCCTGAATCTCACCTTTTCTTCCTCTGCCTTTAACAAAGCTCTTGCCAGACAAAAATTCAGCAAAGGCAGCAAGAATGCCAACTGTGTCCACGCTGCCCAGGCAACACAGCTCCCAGCCCAGGCGGAGGGAGCCGCTCCGGAGGGGAGCAGGGAGGTCACTGGGGTCCCTGGAGAGACAGGCACTCCTGGATTGGAGCTTGTTTCTCTAAATGAGACTGCTTGTAATTGCTTCACTAAATATTCAGTAGGATTTATGTTATAAAGGTGCAATATGAAATAGCAGTGAAGGTCACACATGCTCATGACACGGGTTTGAAATCTCCTTGTACAGCTGCACTGTGTGATGTTCCACCCCAGTCCCTCCCAGCCCTCTGCTCCTGAGGGCTCCTACTGGCATCAGAGCAAACGGGCAAAGTGTGGCAGGAACGTCATTCCAAAAAACTCCTGTTTCGGGGGAAACATCAACAACCCTCCTGGGAGGATATTCAAGACACCGATTGTCATGAAGGAGCCAGCAGAACGCAGTACCTGCTCCTCCAGACTCCTGAGTGGGAATTAACAACCATTTAAATGCAGCAGCACTTGCCTGTAGAGGCAGCGACTGGAAATCAGCATCTCCTGAGAGGACAAAGTTACAACGGCACCGACTGCGCTTGTCCAAGGCTCCATGAGAGCTGGAACCACAGCAGCAGCAGTTTCCTTTGCTGTTGCTCAAGAGAACAACCGGCATCTTGATTAATTACAACACTGAACAACCCCTCCTCCGAAGGAATTACTAGACTTCAGAGCTGCAATCTAACTTCCTAAGCTAAAGGCTGGAAGGAGACAGGTCACAGCATGGAAGTTATCAGCCACTCCAGAAACAAGGCTGCATCAGGGCTGTCCCCAGGCCACCAGCAAAGTCCTCACCAGGTGGGACAGTCGGGGCCGAGAGGGACCTGAGGGTTCAAACTCTGGTACCACACCCCGTCAGGTTTATTTTCAGAGAGGACGTGCTACGCTGAAGTGCAGTTACGGGTTCAATGCTTGAGTGTTCACTCATTATTTCAAAACTTCAGCACGTTTTTGCACGTTCTTTAGGCAAATGAAGTGCAAAGTGAGTCAGAAGCCAGCAGCACAGAGTGACTGGCCGTGTTACCTGTGGCAAGGTGAGTGCTGCCTGCAGCACCGGTGTCTGTGCAGAGAACAACCGCTGCCTCCCGCTTCCCAGAGCGCGGCTGTGTGCGGAGCTGGACGCTCCCTCTCCCACACCCCGCAGAGTGGGTACAGGCAAAGGCAAAATATGGTTCCAAATAAAATCACAGATGCAGACGGGCACCTATTTCCCAGGATCAGCTGAAGAGGATGTTCACACTATTACAACAGACATCAGGGGAGGAACAGACGCTTCCCTATTCCTGTGAGATAAACACCTGAGAGGAGAGATGGGAAACGGCGATACCCGCTCTGCTCTGCCTGGACCCATCTCACCATTCCTTCCATTCACGTTCCACCAGTTTCACGTCCGTTACACTGTGCAGCTGACATGTTACATGCCCAGAATACTCATGACAAATACTCATTTTTATTCCACTCCTATACCTTTTACTTTAATTGTAATAAATAAATAAACCAAAACTGAATCTCCATATTTTTAACTCCAGCCTGAGGCTGACAGTCTGAATTGTTCCTACGTTTCCAGGCAATCAGCTCCCCTTGCACACCTCCTCAGTGTGCAAACGTGCTCCTGGGCAGGATAAGGACCATCCTTTCTCTGCCTGCCCTTTGCTCTGCTGGTTTGCTGGTTTGTGATAGCACAACTCTGAGTGACATTTTAATAAAACACAGGGCTAATAAACATTGCAGCAATAGCGCTGGAGAATTGATAATGAACAGATTTATGTCAAATTATTCAATATCTGCCAACCTCCTCTGCTGCTCTCACACTCCCCAACTGCAAGTCCAACCCCGGTGTCTCAAGGCTCCTGGAAGGAGAGCAGAGTCGCCCAGTTTCCCCACCCCTCGGCAACAGGCACACGTCCCTTTCCCCCGCTATTGAGCAGCTCCAGGGAGGGCTGACAGCCATTCAGGGGTTAAAGAGAGGCAGTGAACCCCCAGCTAATGAGTAAGAATTCAGCAGGCAGTGTAAGATAAATGGAGCTTTCTCTGCTTCTGCTGGAGTCAGCATGAACTGCGGCCCTGCGGCTTGTTTGTGGCAAATGGAGTGCGCGAAATATCAAAGGGCAGTGATCCAGAAGAAGACCGACTTTGACAAATTTTAAATTGGCCAGAAAGAAAACCAGCAAAAAAAAAAAAAAAGAAAAAAAAAAAAATTATGCAATTCACTGTGTCCTGCAATCTTGGCTTTCCTGCTATGGTAGGAATTAGTGGCAAAACAACAGCAGTGATCGTCCGATGTTGGGAGCAATTACGAGGCATCTAAGTGAGATGCTTATCAGTGACTGAAGCTTTTAGAGCTCTCTGTATGTACAGTTGTAAGTGACTTGCTCTTGTGTTGCAGTCATTTTAATTAAAGCGTATGGAGTTTGCTGAGAGTAATTACCCTGTAGAGGAAGAGGGGAAAAAAAAACCCTGAACAGGCTCCTGCCTCCTCACACAGCGCAGTGCTGGATTTCTGAGATGTCACCAGAAAACTGTTTCCCTTCTCTCTCCCTGTATTTTTTCCTGGGGACGCTGGTGCAGGTCTCACTGGTGTGATTCCAGGGTGCTCTGCAGCCGTGCTGCACCCAGTCTGGGTGACGGACCCTCTGGAAGGGCCACCCCACAGTGACTGAGCTGCTCACAGTGCTCTGCTCACCCCCTTCCTCCACCACTTCAGGATTCAAACACTCTTTGTTCACAGCCAGTGACTCTGCTCCTGGGAAAGGATTCGCCCGGCACTCACCACACAGAAGACGTCGTTTCTCTGCAGGCTGGCTGGTTTGTTAGCAGAGCCAGAGCTTTTTCTGGTGGGGTGAAGGTAAATACCCTCAGAAATGGTGCTGCTGCCGTAGTGCCATTTATCTGCACAGACCCGAGCTGACTGCTCAGCATATTGCCTTCTCTAACCACACATCTGATTTCTCCTTCCCCTGGAGACTCACACACCAGAGAGGCAGCTCTCCTGCGTGAGGTGCAGCCAAACACCCGTGGGAGGTGCAGCTCTGAGCCCCAACTGCGTAAGGAACTCGACTGCAGGGGTGAAAATGTGAAGTGAAAACCTTAGGAGAGCATTTGTTGGGACCCTATGCTGGTTCTCCACAACTTGGTGCAGTCGTGCTATCTGTTTGCTCCTAAAGGGACACTGTCAAGTCTAACACAGGTCAAAAGTGAGGTTTTGTGAAAAGAATCTCCTTGCTGCAGCTACAAACATTAAAACTGGTTTTCAATTCCAACAGACACAGCAGACAGAACACCACGTCCACCCATCTGGGTATCTGCACCCACTCTCATGCAGTCACACGTAATGTACATGAGCATGATCTGAACTCGGATAAAACTGCTGCCTTGTGCTGGCCTGCAGGACTCAAACACCTGCTAACCTGCCTCTTGCCCAGAAAGCAATCGGCACAGTGAGAGAAAACAATGAGAGTGTCAAAATACTATCATTAAAAAAAGACAGAAAATATCTTTGCTGCTATCACAGGCATAAGTAAGAAGCTGGTTTTCAGCAAGCAGTCTGATTCTTACCACTCCCCACTCCCTTTACAATTATTATCCTCTTCCCAAGGCATATCAGGATGGTTGTTTTGTATAGAAATTGTTGCACTGCCATAAATTAAAAAAAGCCAAATAATAAAGTGTAACTGCAGCAATAGCCACGATTTATCAGTCATTTGCAGAACACTTTTCCTCCTGAAGGATCTCAAAAGGCTTTAGAAATTCAAACCATACCCACGTAGCACGCTTCTTCCACTACTGAAATGTAGTCAATTTTGGAGGTAAAGAGAGGCTCTGTAAGATTATACTCTTACAGTAAGAGCTAGTAAAGAACTATTTAAAGAGCCTATTCCCCTGAGAGGTACATATCTGATAGTAAGTGCATTTTGCTGAACACTCTGTATTTTGGGTTGTTGGGTGTCTACCAGGGATCATTTGGAGCGAAAGGCACAGCAATAATACAACACGTGCAGTGACGCGCTGGCCACTGAGCACTGCACATCACCCCCTATTTTACTGAGGAGGTGAAGGTTATTCTTTATTTTCTTGACTCCGAAGTGCAGACAGGTATCATTACTTAAAACTACCTCAGACACACAGTGATAGTCCACCAGCCCAAAACGTCTTTGACCAAATTTTTAAGTTACACCAAATGACACCAGCTGAGGGGTTTGGCCCACGAGCTTTCAGTGAGCTGAGCGATTGCTGAGATGGAAACTAGACTCAAGCATCTGTAGTGTCTGTTGAAAGACCCATTAAATAAATAAAAAAGAAATTCATTCCAAAAGACACTATTACACACAGCCTAGGTACGCTAAATGCACACGAATATCACCTCTCACACGTACATACACGCAGCTTGTCTCATCTGGTTTTCTTCCCAAGTTAGTTGACAGTAAATAAAAATTATCATGAAATTGATAAAATGCCTCAGTGCCCCTTTTTAAGGTCTATAAACACATTCATTAGCCACCAGCTAACGGATGGCTGCCCCGCGCAGACCTACCCAGCCGCTCTGCCAGGCGGATGTACACGGGGTCCACTCGCCTCATGGTCTTCACCAGATCCTTCCTGCGGAACTTGATTTCTACCGTCCCCTCTGGTTCCAGGATTCCTCCTCTGATCAGTGATGGGAAAAGAGAAAAGAAAGGCACTTTCAGGTCATCAGACAAGGGGAAACACAAAATGGAATGGTTCAGTGTTATCTAGAAAGCATGTAAAAAAAAAAAAAGAAGAGAAAGGTGGGAGGGAGACAAAACAAAGAGAAAGAGAGAACAAGAAAGAAAGGATCTTAGCTGTTATTTATCCAACGCCACAAATGCACACCAGAGACACGTCTGCCCAACAGCATATAGCACAGCCTGGGACGAGCAACGCTCTTCAGCAGACTCTTTTAAGCTGTGACCTGCAAGCTCTTTCCAAAGGTAGGTAAGCTTTATGAAACAAACCAATTAACCAGCCATTTCCATCAGAGACCCTGCCTCCTTCCCAGGGCAAAGACAGAGCAGCACGTGATTTGAAACTTGGGCTCAGTAAATAAAATCACTTCAGTCTTTAGCTGTGAGGGCGGGAGGGATGACGAGGAGGAAGGTCAGCGCTGAGGGTTATGAACAGCAACAGCGATGAGAACTATTACAAATGCAAAATGGTACTTAGGGACAGGGTGATGTATTATGTAAAATAATCTTCTTCTTGGCTACTGGAGCTCAAGACCTCTAGAGTCCAACACAGCTCTGCAAACACACCCTGTCCTTCCTGCTGTCTCGCAAGGCGGGAGCTGGCTTGGGATTTCCAAGAGGTGAGCTCACACTGCTGGGATCTTGGAAAGGTACGGGGCAGAGGCAGCGGGAGGGAGCTGCTCCTGCACGGACCCCAGAAACACTTGGGGGAAGGAGCTTGTAGAAATCCTGCTCACAGTGTGTCTGACTGGGAAGCAAACAGGCTCCACATTTCTAAGTAGGGTTTTTGGAAAGAACAGCAAAAACTTCCAGCTTCCAGGAGGGGAAGATTAGAGAATGTTTGCTCAAGATGCAGGAAATACTGGGGGGGGCAACAGACTACATGTCTGTCTCACCGTTTTAGAACAGAGAGAGAGACAGGCATGCCATCAGGACCAAAACTCAGCTGGGAAGGGCAAGGGAAACAGGCATCTTCTCAACTCTTCCCTGCATACACTTATTTTTTTCCCTGGGAGCAGCTGCCTGGGAATTTTATCCTGCCAAGAGGGCAGGAGTTGAGGGGATGCCCTGACAGCACAACATTCGTGCTGTCCTTCCATACGCCTGCCTCTTATCTGCTACAGACAGCCCAGGAAGGGCTGGCTTTTTCTCCAAATGATGCAGTATCTCTATTTTAAGTTTCTTTATAATATTTTAAAAAATCTGTTTCCAAGAATTTGCCTGTAGTTTTATATCCTGAACCACCAGTAACTAGAACTTCATTACAAAAGTTGTATTTAATTTAAAAAGTGCGACTCCCCAAGTGCCCACATGACAGTGCAACACTCAGGGATTTTAAAGTGCACAATTATTTACACCTATTTAATTTGCAAAATTGTATGTACAGACCCTTGTTTCAAAGCACAGAGCAGTAAGTGGAAACACCAGAATGGTCAGAAAACCCTAAGCACCAATATCTCACTGTGCTTTGGCACGTTATTCATGAACCCTCACAGAGGTGGCTCAGCATGGCTACAGAACTTACCCCCCTCTAAGTCTGAGCCAGGGGACCATCCAAATTGTCCTACACAGCAAACTCCTCCGAGACGCAAGTTACAACGGGAAGAGGGTCAGCCCCTGCTCAGTGACAAACTCCCACACTCTTAACTGCAAGCTTCTCACTCAGCCAGGTAATTATGTCCCAGAGCAGGTGGCTACAGAGGGAGGAGAAAGCTGCCATGAAGCTGCCGTACCTGCTCTCTCGGTCTGCGTACATCTCCATGTGGCGAGGGTTAATGGTGGGGTCGATCACAGCCCAGGATCCTCCTCTCAGCTCCGCCTGCGGTGGGATGTAAATAAGCACGGGTTGACGATACTCTCTCAGGCCATCCACAATGTAGGCACCAAACTTGAGCACTTGGTCATACATGTCTGCAGGAAAAGGACACATCGCTTGACGTCACAGCATGTCAATGCTTCACCCCGCCACACTTGGTCACACTGGGAGAAAAACCAATTATTCAGCTCTTCTAACCATGTATTGCAAGCTCTGGTTGGTGTTATCTGGACCTGGACAAAATGGACTGAGGAAGGAGATGTTCCCACAGCAGTCACTGCTCCCAGACAGTGGATCTCCACTCTGGAGATCTTGTCCAGTTACTTCCCGGTTACTTAACCACACTGATGCACAAAACATGGACTGCAGTGTCCTCTGGTCACACCAACCAGTCCTACACTTGGAGGCAGGAGATACTTGGAGATAGGATGTCCTGGAGACAATCCAGCCCTTACTTCCCAGCCAAGCCAATGAGTATTTCAGCAGTTTGGGAAGTCAGGTCGGGTGTTTTTGCTGCCCCATTCCAGACTTCCTACCATGGATCTGTACCATGACCCATGCAATGTGCACGGCACACCAAAGGGCAGCAGACCTTCCGTCTATCTTTATCAAAATCAGCGTGTTGGAAAGGTTCAGGTGTGCAATAGCATTCTTCTCTTCTTGCATTAGAGTTTGTTTAAGGCATTTTGCTCAAAATTATTAAGAACAACTCCACTGTGTAAAGACAGTACATTGAAAATATCAGCCCCAAAGGTGATTTAAATAAAAGAGAAAAAAGGACGGCAAAAGAATTGATATGAGATGATAAGAGTTTATAATGGATACAGTTTGTAATGGAAACAGGCACCCTCGAATACATACATTTTGTTACATATGATTATATATAGAAGTATCAAATCAAATATACAAGAAATGAAAAATACTTACTAGGATCATCCAGCCCACCTTTTTGTTCACACAGGACTGTGCCCTGCATCTCTCTCCCAGTGCTTTTTAAAGCTTTCATTTAGAAATCCCAAACAATAAATCTCCTCCTTCTTTAGGGGCATTTCCACAACCAAATGGATGAAATTTTCCTCAGCATTTAGCCAAACTTCCCCTCCTTCCCCATCCCCATCCCCATTAATTTAATATTCCTACTCTTTGCATCACCCTACATAATCTCTGCACTCCTTTGGGCTTGCTAGAAATAGCAGTAGGCTTTTCAGTATTTCCCCTCAGACACAGAACAGGTATTCATTCCTCATGTCTCCCAGGACAGTCAACCCCCTTCATCATTTTTGTTCTTTGCCCAGCATCTCCCAGTCTGCCTCATTTTTTCTGGCCATTAAAATACCACCATGTGGGGCAGAAAGACGAAGCGGGTCGCACGTCCGTACCCCGCACACGGGCTGGTCTGCAGCCATGGTCTGAAAAGACTGAGACACTTTTATTCATCTAAAATCCTCACAATCACCTGAGAAAGCATTTCCAGGGAAGAAAGAGACGCCAGCCAAGGTCCCCTTGTCATTTAACCCCAGTTTCATGTTAAGCAGCAGCATAGTTAAGCACTTAACTCTTTGGGAAATACACATACACACTCTTACATATATATATATATATACACACACTAACATATAGAGAGCGAGCAAGAGGTGTATATAGTGTGTGTAAATATATATATATACACTAGAACCACAGGCACTGATGTGATCTCTTCAGTTCATTCACAAGGTCATTGTCCAAGTACCCAAGAAAAGGAGTTTCATGTTATTTAAGAAATGTCAAATGCTGATGAAAAGAAGAACAATTTATTTCCCCCAATTGAGAATAAACATAAATTCTGTCGGAGACAGTGAGGACTGAGAACCAAACAAAACTCCAACCTTTTCCATTGTCATGAGCACAGAAAAAGACCTCAAAAGGGGTGACAAATTTATTACTAATTACACAATTATTTTATTATGTAGTGCTAGTAATAAACCACTTGAAGTACTTTCAGCTAATTCTAGTGTTAAGAAAATAATTGCTTGATTCAAATTATTTTAACTGAATTAATTCTTTACTAGACATTTTTTACTAGTGCTACATAATAAAATAATTGTGTAATTAGCAATACATTTTTCACTCCTGCCAAGGGTATATATTTTACTCGGGTTAAGTGTAGAAAAAAGAAGCGCTACTTGTTTGAACAGGGCAGAGGGAAGAGGAGTAGAGAAACTGAGCAAAACTTGATGTTTTCTGTGCACAGCTCCAAATCTCTCTCAGGTTTAGCAGGTGGCATCAGCAAGGTCAGGGAAGTGTTTCTGTGCCTACGATCCTTTCAGGATCACACTTTCAAAGCTCTCCAGAAGCACAAACTTTATCACTATGCAGTTCTGTACACAGTTACTCCTTTTGGGATCCTGCAAGGCAGCACTTAATTTTCCTGGAAGGTCCCAGCAGCCTTAGCTTAGTATTTTATAGATGGATTTACTGATTATATTATATTATATGATTTTATATATGGATTCAACTGCTGGCTTCTCAAAACTTCCACTGAGGTCAGAGGAGCTGCTGCTGTACTCTTGGGCTATAGACAGATAGTTTCAGATACTTTCAGACCTGTCTGTAAACTCTGCAGCAGAGGATTTCTCCTTTTCTAATGGTAACTACTTCTGCTAATGGAGATCAAGTTTTGCTCCACTAAGGAAGAGACAATCAACCTGCCTGTGATCACGGAAGGGTTCCCATGGTGCCATGGAAGCTGATGAGCTCCAGAGACGAGCCAAGGGGAAGCGCAGTGTCCACAGCTACAGGAGGGTTTCTGCTCTTCTGTGGGGTTCTCCCCTCCCACCATCTCAACTGTCCCCTCTGCCTACACTTACCACTTCAGCCAAGCAGGGACTCTTAAAGAATGTGTATTTTTAAGAGGTAAACTATCAGTAGAGTTGATGAAGATCATAAAAATACTGCAAAGACGACCCAAGACACCTGCCTGTAGTCTCCATGCCCAGTCACCCCAACACACAACCTCTCTGATTTACATCTATATTGTATTTGAGTGTGAAACCATGAAACATTTGCCATACTGTCACAACTGCCTCTTGTTTGCAGTTTTGCTGCATTCTCCACTCTCACCATGGAGAACAGTGCCCCAAATTTAACTGCTGCAGGTGGGAAATGATGCCAGGTCTCCATGGTGTCCACTGCTCTGTGCTCGAGTCAACCCAGCAGCCCTAGACCTTATGAACTGTTCCTACTGTAACTAACACACTTCTTATGTTTAAAACAAAACCCAATGGCTTCCATCATCATCCTGCTGCAAGGATCACCACAGGCATTTTAAGAGCAGGCTGTTCGCACAACTCTTCTTGCAAAGAAGTTGCTTATGTTGAGATTGGAAAAAATAAAACGAAATATTCTCTTTGTGGGTCAAAATTTCGTTCCTGTATTAATTTAAACCTCAGCATAATAAGCCACTAAGGCAGAAATGCTGCAGCAGTCCCCTCGGAAGAGTTTTCGTTGTTCCGTAGGGCAGACTGTTTGCAGCACGTTCCCATCCTCTGCTCAGCTGCAGTCTGCATCAGCGCCTACTCCACACAGACAAGAAATCTGCTGGAAGCTGTTATCATTACCCTGTATGTGTAAATATTGGCAGTCAGATGCAGCACGCGTGCTAGAAAGGCTGCAGACAGCTTTTTACATTTCCATAGTGTCGGGCAGCATGCCCTGAACCTCCAAAGCTGGAACGGATCTCATCAGCTTGGCTGGATTATCAGATAGGACCTGAAGGTAAACACCAGGCGAACACCGGCTGCAGACACATCATGTCCCTCATAAACCCATTACATACGAGCAATACCACCATTCAACACCCAGGTAATCAGAGATTTAAAACAGCCTCTTCATTCTGCCGAGATCTTTTTTTTTTATTGTTATTTATAACCTGTCCCAGGAAAAAAATAATAAGTAAAACATGAAAAACCAACTGCGAGTGACCCTGTAGCACAAGCGGCGCCGCAGTTTAATGTCGCGGGGATTTGCATGCTATCAAACTATTCATGCCGAGTCCAAGACCCTGGTGCTAATTTCCAGTAAATTTCACGCTTGATGTCTCCCCGTCGTGGGTCACTGCCGGTTCGCCTAAATAAACCACTTCCAAATGGCTCCTCCATCTAAATATTCAAGCCAGTTTTTATAATTTAATTTTGCATTATGCTGAATAGCCTTCCGGCCAGATAGAGCTCATTGGGGAAAGCACCAATACCATTGTGATATGCCTTTATTTATGTTTTTTATTTATTTATTTTATGGTTTGAATTAGACCTCCTAGGCCGACTAGTAAAGACAGGGGATTTTTTTTTTCTTCTTCTTTTTTTTTTTTCTCCCCCCTCCGCTAATGTCAATTTTCAGCATAGCAAGAGCTGTCTCTAATCTTTTCCTACTCATTACACACAATTTTGGAGTCATTTTACCCACAGTGCAGTCGGCTTCTGGCAGTGTGTTTGTGTGCACTGAGGGGTGGCATAATTGTTTATTTTCCCTCCCTGCATAATCCCCAGCCAGCATTGAAACCAAAACTGCAAACAACTCCCCAAGGAACGCAGAGAGCGTCAGGAGAGACCACGGCTCGCTACGCGGGCGCCAACAGCAAACAAGGGGCAGGAAAACGCAGGGACCAAGGTGCCAACTGCCATGGCTCTGCTCTCCCCTCCTGCTGCCAGCTGGGGATGTGCAATATGAGTGTCCTTGTAGTGCCCTGTCCACCTTGGGCTTCTGGTCCCAACTCCAAAGCTAAACTGAGCTTCTGAGGAACCCACCAAAGGGCACAGGCAAGGCCAACAGATCTCACAACACAGAATGGCAAAATAATATTTAATGAACACTTGGTAAAGTTACGTCCACAACCTCCCCCTAAGTTTTGCAGCAGGGAAAGCAAGTCATGAAGGGAGTGCAGCAGCAGGAAATGGAGCAGAACCATCCTGAAAGGTTAACAAGTATTTTCCCAAGGAAAGAATTTTGCCACCTTCCAGCTTTGCGTCTGCAAACTCCATGGCATTGCTCTCCCACAGCAGAGCAGGACAGCCGTTGTCACCCTGCCAGTCCTTCCAGAGCAGGAACTTTTACCCTGTTAGTGCATTTGTAACTTTGCTTGTGTGTTTGTGAAGTGCCACATGCAGGTAAGAGGCCGTAATCTTTTACTTATTTAAGTTTTATAGTATCAATCTCGCATTCTTGGCACTTCACAAAATTTAAAGGAGCAATGTGTGGTGCAAAAATCAAACTGCTGGCACATTAACTGAGCAGTTTTATAACTGTTCACTTCATATGAACATCGCCAAAAGAGTCAACCGGGAGACAGTGGGAAAAATCACCAGTGAGACGATGCTTCCACTTGACAGAATAGGCCTGTCCATTTTTGATATGCAATACTTTTGCCTTATCCAGCCCCAATTTCAAGCTGGGGCAGAAGGATATAAAGCTTTCTGAGCAGAAGGGGTTTCCTGAGATTAGTGTTTCATTGCCCAGGTTGGCAGCTGCCAGTTTTGTTAGCAAGGAGACCACTGTGAGCATCCCACTACCTCTTCTCACTGCAGATGACCTGGACAGTTCCTATAACCACATACAAGGGTGCATATAAAAATACAACTGCATTGCTGCTTCTGAAAAGAACTGGATACCAAATTTGCTCCTTGCATATTCTGTGTTATTCTTCTATGTGTCTATTAAAAACAAGACACACATGGGGATCTTCTTCATGAAACCCTTCGTCACCACAGCGACTGCAGCATAGTGTCCCCTTCCTCTAGCTGGCTGTGCCACAATCACAAGTGACTCTCAGGTGAGCCTGGCAGAGCATTGCCAGGATTTCGGAGGGTGACACCTCCAAACACTCTGCCTGGCCTAGAAAAGGAGCCCCTTATTAGCATTTCTAGGCAGGTCACATACTTGCCATGAAAGAGTGGGGCTGGATGCAGACTGCACCAAAGACGGGTGAAGCAGATCCACTCTGCAAGCTTATGGGTACAAGTTGTCACCACAGTTAAGCCAATTTAATAGTGAGCTGCTGCCCAAAGACAGGACCTGCTTCTGTCCCTTGCCACATTGTCCCACTGCTGGTCTGTCCCCAGAGAACCACTTCAGGGTGCTAAACCAGTAGAGCTGGTGCCATGGGGTATGCCATGGTGGGGAACAGCAGCAGTGCCCTGAGCAGTAAAAGACAAGCCACGATATGGGACAACACTGAAGGGGATCCAAATCGATGGTTACCTTTCATTCCTCCAGAGAAGCCTCTCCAGTTAGCAAAGACCATCAGAGGCAGCCCTTCTCTGTTAAAGTCATTGATCGCCTGCGCAGTCTTGAAGGCAGAGTCAGGGAACCAGACCTGACCAGCCTGCTGGATTATCTGTTGGGAATAAGGAAGACTGTTAAGCCTTGAAGCACGTTAATTTAAGAGTTAGTGTAAAGATACAGAAACAGGTGCAACAAGAGCTGTGATGTGGAATTAACGACAGGGAACACAGCACGTGAAACGCTTCGGATCTGCTTGTCCACAGAAGAACTGGGACAATCTTTTTGTACCAACATCAGCAGGAGTGCTCCCACTGACAGAGCTAAGAGGAGGAACAGAGATGGTGTGGAAAACCTGATACTATTAATGCTGCGAGAAGGTGAAGGAGAAGAAGAGAGAGAAAAGGATATGCAAAGGAGAAGACCCTGAAGAAATGATGTAGGGCCAGAGCTGTGATATCAGGAAGGAGAAAAGCAGAATGTCAGAGCAGGAAGAGCACAAAACACTATGGTCACAGCAAGACAGAAGGGAAATGATTTTTTTGCTTGCCAGATCTCCTGGGCCCTAGTCCCTGCTTCTCACCTAAGTCACGGGAGAAACAGGACTGCTGGGGAATGTGTCTCCTGTATGAATGGCCAACACAACTGGCCATTCACTCCTCCCAGCAACTGTCAGGCACTAGCACCCCATCAAGGAATGGTTATACATTTTGTCCCACATTTGGCACTAAAAAAAATTCCCCATCAAAACAAATGCTCTTTCCACAGAGACATTTCCAGAGGACAAACAAGCAACCGAGCACACGTTCAACCTACCTTGGCCTCCGAGTCCAGGTTTGCAGGATCAGCAGGGATGCTGAGCTCCACCGTTCTCGTTTCTACGGCAACTACTCCTACAGGTATTCCTCCCAGCCTGGTAACATGCAAAACAAATCAAAATTTGTATTTCTACTGTTCCACAAATAGACTTTTTTTTCCAATTTGCATCAAAATACTCAAGAGAGACAAATAACGCAAGCGAACGGTGGAAGAAGCATTCTGGCCTTTTTCAAGAGTTTAGGTGTGTGGCTGGAGAATTTCAGAGCAGAGTTTACAGTTCTCAAAGCAAAATCTTGTTCTAAAACCTAGCACATACCTCACTAAAAATTAAATAGAATAAACCAAAGCCCAGATTTTAAACGATAGAGCTACATCTCCACCACCCTTCATCTGCTACCAAACAGATTTCGACACCAATTGTCCTGACCACAAAAAATACCCCTGAAGACCCAAACCCTGTTTTCACAAGTGCTGCCAGCAGATGAAATACATCCAGAGGCTGCATGTCTGAGCAAAGCTGATGTCTCAGCCACCCTAAACCTCCACTGCCGACCAAAACTTCCCTCTCCCCAGAGGTTGGGGTGAATGATGGACAGAAGGTTTGGGTTTGCTGGCTATCTCCTCCCCAGCCCGTCTGCTACGGGGTGACTGCAAGGGTGGGAAGGGTGCAGGGACAGAGGGACAGGCAGGGAGCGCAGGCAGCAGGGAGGATGCTCAGCAGGCAGCAGGGAGGATGCTCAGCTCTGCTTTCCACAGCATCTAACCACTCCTTTACACAAAAGGCATCTCGCTCGCGATGACAACTGCTTACTCCCAGGACGGGAGTCCCAGCAGAGCCCGCGCTCTCTCCTCAAGCACCTCAAGCTGGATGACACGCGCTGCAGGCAGAGACAGCGACAAGGCCTGTGTGCACTAGGGGGTTGGAAATATTCCCATTCACTATGATTAAGAGTCTGCCTAGAAACCCGTAATTGCAGAAGCCGTCTTAAATCGGTAACTTATAACTTCTATATTAGGGCCCATGTGACCTAATAAAGAACATCTTTATCCAAGTATTACAGTTATTTATTGAACTTGAAAACAGCTCAAAACAACTTCTGTTTTCCATTATACTTCATATAAATTTTATCAGGCTAGCACATGAAGATGCTACATCTTGTTTTATAGTGTGTCCCTGGACAAGTTGCCATAGAATAATAAAAGACAATTTACAGCCAACAGCACACATATTCCAAACATACATACAAAAGATGAGTTTTGGCAGCACTTACAGTAACAATCCCAGAAGAATACATTCATATTTGTTTTTTTCAGAACGCCCTGCTTTTGAAAGAAGTCAGTTTCATTTGTGTTATATATACCTGCATGTGAGAGTCCAAAGCAACTTGGAATTTGTCAGAAGAAATGAACTGCAAGTGAAGCTGACCATGGGCCTGGGCAGAGACCTTCTATCTTTGCCAAATAATTGATTTTCACACCCCACTCCCTGCTCTCTGCTTAACATAAAAGCCTTTAAATAATTATAGGGTGCTGTGAGATAAAACTTTAGAGTGTCATGGATGGCAGATACAAATACCACAGTGTATGAAAAGGTCACAGGACATCCCAAGGTTACGTGCTACAATTAAGAGTGGAGTTAGCAGGTATTTTCAGCTCCTCTCAACACAGATCAGACAATATTCTGAGTGGGAAGGACCTTCAGGGGTGACAGCACTCAGACCCTGGGACCAGCAGTGGTCAGAGACATGAAAGTTGGTGAAGGCAGAGCTGAGCTGCAGCTGCACACGGCCGGCCCTTCGGCTCAGCAGTGCTTCGTCTCTAGCTGGGCTCGTGCAGCCGAACGTTACCGCGCTGCTCTGTCCTGAGCACGGACTCCTCCTGCCCTGATGTGATATCTGAGCAAATGGGAACGTTTCTCCGTATCATTCTCCACTAGGATAGTCCAAAGGTAGTTCCAAAGCCTTTAAAGACCCTCAAAAATCTTAAGAAGAGAGGAACAGAGGGATGTTTTGCTGAGCAAGCCCTCTCCTTCAGTTATTATGCAGCAGTTCATTAACATATGAACATAGCTCCTGATGGCCATTTGAGAGATGTCCAGAACGGACACAACCTCTGACATGTTGCACGTGAATGCCCTAAGCTTTGCTATCTCACAGCATGACCCCTGGCTCTCTGACCTTTGTTAGGAGAACTCTCTAGAGCTGTGGCTTTAAAGAGTCTAAAAGAGAAACAGGAGCACCCAGTGCCAAATATTCTGGGCTCATGTGTGCTACCAACACAATGGAGATAAGAAACAGCACTGGTTCATGGCCACGTTGGCTGGGAGCCCAGCTGGCTATCCCAGTTGTGCTGTGTGCTTCAGGAACAGTGCTGGCTCTCCCTGTCTCCCACTGAACACTCTGGTAATCAAATACAGCATCACCAGGGACGTCCTGGTACTACAGTCAGTCCTGGCAACATCAGTTCGGTGTGGCTAGAGGCTGATGGAGTCAGACCCCAGGGGTGGCCATGGGTTTTCCAGAAGATTGTGAGCATTATCAGGTAATTTGTCTATGGATTGTTGGCACTCTGATACTGACAGAACAGGAGGTGAAAGATCTGTAAATAGAAGATTTTTCTTTGATGCAGACTTCTGCTAGGAACTAAGGCACTCTGAACGCCCGCCATGCACAGGCACGACTCTATCTCATTAAGTGTAACACCTGAAGCCTCCAGGATCCCATTCAGGCACTTCAGGTTTGGGTTTTTTTTTCCTCCCCTCTCACTTGTTAACACAAAAAAAGAAAAGGCTGACAATTAACCAAAAATACTGACATCAATTAGGAGCTGGGAGTCTGCTGGAGGCAAGAGTATGAAGCTCTGTCTTGAGAGGAGAGCTGGCAGCAGCCTGAGGAATGAGGAGTGACAAAGGATAAGCACACTGCGTTTGGACAGCTCAAGCACTTGTAGTGGAAACTCAAGGGAGATAAATGTACTCTTTCAAAATGGCTTGATTGTGAGAGGAAGCAGACAATCAGATCAGGAAACTCACAGTGCCATTTTGGAGGAGGCAAAAAACTGAAGAAACTAGAGAAGAGGTGATTGAGGGGGTTTTGAGCCCAGCTGTGTCCATTCTTCTGAGCCCATTCTGGCCAAATGCAGGATCCTATCTCCAGGCTTCTGCTTCCTGCCAGCTCTGAGAGTTCATGGACCTGCAACACTGAGAATGACCCAGGCTGCAAATATTTTCAAGGTAGGGATCTAAATCTCGAGGCAACAGGGAACATTTTAGAATCCTGCACAGGTGCCACTTCACAGCAAGGTAAGGGGAAGTGACTCCCCTTGGGAGGACGTGAGTGCCACAGGTCTCTGGAGCTGCACATCTCTGCATCACAAAAAATAACTAAGATCAGGTGTGGTGGGTGCTGGTTTGGAAAATGCTGTCTGTTATTCGATGCAAACCTCAACATTACACTCCTCTATGCAGAGTTTCTTGGAATTTGCTCTAGTTTCAGCTGAACTTGCAAGTCAAATAAGACTGCAAACCAATAAATTGTGTAAGATACCTTCAACTAAGTCAGAGAAGGCCTCACTATGCAACCAGGTACCTAGGGAAGCATATATTGTCTGCCACAATTTTAAACAATATCTCTCTTTTTGGCTTTTGTGCATGTTAAAGCTGTCAACCTCCAAGGAAAACAGGAGAAATGATCAGACCATGCTTCATTCGTGGGGTAAAGAATTATCCTGTTCAAGTAATGACTTATTTTTACTTAGAGCCATCAACTTTCAAAGGAGGTTCTAGAAAAGTGCAAAGCATAACGAAAACTTGATTTCTACAATGTCTAAAATGCCTCTTAGAATTTACCTTGCTCTACCAACCACAACTGTCTGCGCCCAGGGCTGCATGATCTCCACGAACGAGCCATTGTCAAAGAAACCACTTAGCCATTGTCCTTTTTGACCTAAAGGGAAGGAATAAAAATGGAAATATCAGAGGAGGGAGGGAAGAAATAAGAGACAATATAAAAGGAGCAACTGAAACTTGCTTACACATGCCAACTGGAGAACTTGGCATTGTCTTTTTATTTATTTATTTTTAAAATAGATTATAATACAAGGGAACATTAGACAGCTGAGCATTTGTCTGCCTTCAGCCATCATGTCTTATTTCATTTGCTAGTCTGCATAAACACAGTCATTTATCAGCAAAAGCATCATTTATTGTTAAACGATGGGGTTCGGATAGCAGAGGGACTTTGCATGCCTTTAAATAACTGGTTTTTTTTCAAGACACTACAAACATTTGTCAAAAGGCAGTAAAGTCATTAAAGATATTTTTCAAAATGCCTATTTCTATTTTAAAACTTATCTTACATTTTTCTCCCGATTCTTCCTAATCTTTCCTTTAAAGAAAGAATGCTGAAGGGAGTCAGGAACTAAATATAAAAATTTCTTTGATATTTTAAAACTACACTAAACATCTGAGCATGTTCCACACAACCAAACTGCTCCTCAAGAGCACGTCACCAAGATGACTGTGCAGTTCTAAGAGAAATAAACTTTTCCTGACCCTTGGAGACAATCAGGTTCTACCCTGAAGGACGAGGGCCTGATTACCCTGGCCGTGCTATGAATGATACTATGAACCAGCTGCCCTTTATAAAACCAGTGCAGTATCAGACTTGGGGTTCCTCCTGCATCACAAACTCCAATACACTGACAACACCTCTCCACCCTCATGTACACTAACAATCCCCATACATTCCTTCAAAACAAATCCTCAGGATGACAGTTATTCCTATGGGAAGAGGGGTGGCAGTTTATGGTGTATTTCTCTACATTCCACATGTGTTTCTTAAGTGGATACAAAAGACACATGAAGCCTCACGACGCCGATGTGCGCAGGGGCACGGCACCGTTTCCAGACAGGAAGACCATAGTAAGAAGGTTTTCCAATATTTCAGCTTGGACCCTACTCCAGTGACCAGGTAAGGACTCAACAAAAAGCTTTCCTTTGGCTGACTGCTGATGCTGGACTGGGCAGTGACAAGTAAGACTTGCAGACAGCTCTCTTCCTGCTGTATAAGCTGCATATCCCGAAGTCAAGGCATCGAGATACTCTACCCACCCAGACAATACAGAAATCACAACTCTCTTGGGACACCTGCTTTCCACTGGGGCTTCACAAAGCTCTGCAAAAAGAAACCCCAAAAAACCCCAAACCCCTCCCAGCTTTACCCCTTGGCACACAGCTTCTGAGGAACACTTTAATCTGAACAAGCACCTCTGCTTCTGCAAACCCAAGTCCAAAACCAATTAAAAGTGGAGATCCAAGCAAGCTAACCTCTGCTGACTTAAACAGGATGGAGAGTGTTTTATCAAGACCAAACTTGTAATTACTGTGTTCTACATTCTTTGCCTCTGTGGCCCCACTGTAAAATGTGACCATCCATTTCAAAATTATCTCTTTATCGTGAGCCCAAAGCTGATCGTTTAGATTCTGGCCTCGTGTCGGGCGTCAGTTTGAAGAATATCACGGCAATATCTCCTCTAATAAATGGCTTTAACTTTTCACCTAGGAGATATCTGCTTTAACTTATCGCAGGGAATCATCTGCTTTCCTTAACGCTTCCACTAAATTAAAATCTGAAGTCACTCGATTTGGAAGCCAGAGTTAGCTGCACTCAGACAGCTGGATGAATTACTTGAGAGATGATGAAAAAATATTATCCAAAACCAGAAAACTTACTTTATCACAAATCTCATTTTAGCCCCCCAAACTCATTAATAACAGCAGGCATAATGGTCACCCAGTTTGCAGCTTGTACCCACACAGGCAGCACAACCCCAAAAGCATGCGTGGGCATTCAGGGGTTTGCAATGTTTCTAATATAATTGTTCTCCAAGACCTGCAGGAATCCTGTGATTCCTTTGGGGTATATTCCTTGTGTATATGGACTTCCTCTGAACCACAAAAAAAAGAAAATCTATAAAAGTAACTAATGTGTCCTCAAACACTCAGAATTTACAAGCTATGTTTATATATTGTATTCAAATTGTTTAGAACTAATTACTTTATAAGCTCCAAAACACATCTGGATTGCAGATATAAAGCCTTGACGAACAGTCTTGACACAAGACTCAATATTGTGTATTCTGGCCACCAAAGATCTAACAACGTACTTGGATTTGGGCGTCCAGCCAGCATCCAGCGAGGATCATAGGGAGTCTTGGTAGGAACAAAATCTATGGTTCTGTCTATAGGATCCTTGACTTTGAGGATAGGAACAGGGCTGTATACACTCTAAGGGGAAAAAGAAAAATATTGAAGGAAGTCATTCTCCTGCATGGCTGTGCACCGAACACCAGCTCTGAAGGACCTGGTCAGAGTCCTCTTTCCCCTACGCTGCACAGCTCTTTGACTGATGGGACCCCAGAGACTTGGCAAGAGCCTGAAGAATCTTCCAAGGTTCTCCATACACTCTCTCAAACCCTCCTTTGGCACTGTATGGCATACATTGTATTTCCTCTGCTCCTGAACTTCAGGCATAGCCAGCACTAACGAGGGGTTGCAATTAAATTTTGGAAAGGTGACCAGGCCACCTGACTCACTCTGTGCACTCTCCTGAAGGAAGGTGACCCGCGTGTTCTTGTTGCTGCTTTCCCAGCTGCGGAGCAGCTCACACATATACATCAACTCCCACACACGACTGCCTCAGAGGGGCACTTCTGGAGTCTCTCAGTAAGAGACAATCCACCGCTTGTGTGAAATCCTGCTGCCCACAGCGCCAAGGGGAGTGATGTGGAGGTACCCACGGCAGTGCCAGGCTGCCCCACAGCCCACTTCCTGCAGCTCTTTTAGACAAAAACCACTTTGTGTCCTTCAGTACCATAATGCTTATCAGCCTTGGTCAGGAGCCTAAACCCACACGTGCAGAGAGCCCCTCAGCCCCAAAACCTCGTGAACAAAGGGAACAGGCAATGGCACCCTGCACTCCTGCAAGGCCAGGAATTACCTTTGGCATGTAGGAAAGCCACTGCAGAATAGTGTAGACTCCTTCAAAATCATCACACACAGTGCTGTGTGTCACACCGTTGTTGTGCATTATCTGGATCCCACCCAGCTGGTTGTTGGAGGTATAAACTTCTCGTCCGAGCACCTTTTGAGAGAAGAACAGGAAAATCATCAGAGGATGGGATGTGACAAGGAGGTGTTGGCTCAGGAGATACATATAAGCAGCAAGCACCATCCCTGCAGCAAGTCATCATCACTTCAACACCAAAGGATGGACCAAACCACTCACAATAGACCTTCCCAAGCTCTGTGGGCAAGTAAGATCTTATGAATAGTGATCCCCAAGGGGAACGATACAAGTGGGGAAACTGAGGCACGGGGCAGTTGTATGACTTTCCCTTGCCCAAGCAGCAAATGGAGCTGGGTGCTGACTCGAGCTCAGCTCACTAATTCAGAATTGCTCTAAGACAACTGGTAGAGTGGACCCATTTCAACCTTTACCTGGGGAAAGAACCACCACCATGAATAAAGATGGGGGGTAGCAAAGCCCCACCAGCTCCTTAGAGAGACTGGAAAGAATAAGACCCTGACTGCTGGGCTTCCAATCCTCCTGCATGGCTCCATCTCTAATCTCAGCCCAGGCACTGCAGCTCTTTTCTCATTCTCCTGCTGTCTCTTTCCATTTGCCCTCTCACTGACTGATACACTGATCTCTCGGTCACTCGGCTTTCTGCTCCACTGAGTCCATATTACTAATAACACCTCTGCCACGGCCAGTTTACCTCATGAAGGCAGGAGCACATCATTACAAAATAAACTCATAACTTTGACATTCTAGCAAATACATGCCGTTTGTTATTTTTATGGGTTGAGTCTTTCTAACAGACAGAGGGCATTACATACCTGCTTCATTTAGGTCTTAAAAAAACCCCCTCAAACACACACAAACAATCTGCCCTCCCCCAGCAAACCACCAGCACAGCTCGTTTCAGGAAGAAGGGCTGCCCCATAGGAGGAGCAGCCCGGAGCCCAAGGCAACCTGGTCCTTAGGGAAGGGTTTGGATCTGACTTTATCCTCATCCTGACATCCTACAAGGAGCACTCGGACACAACTCATCTCACCCATAGTACAGAGGAACTCCATGTTTCTCAGGATTTGACCTTTTGGGCTGAAAGAAAGAAGGTGCTAAAGGGGTCTGAAAATAGAAAATTTTGATGTGGTTATAAAACTACACTGGATCAATTAGCTTTCTTCCTGCACAACATCAGTCAATCACAGCTGGGGTCAGGGAGCCACTGTGCCCATCTAAAGCACTGCCGAACTGGTAAGGCACAATGCTATCATTTACTAACTCCAAATTTATTTTCCTTTGGAGGAGAAAAGGCTGGTGGTCGGGCATTTCACAAAACTCAGCATTTTACAGGTGTTGGACAATCCTCACAGATCTCCTTGTCAGACAGATGTCAGTCGAGGTTTATGTACAGAACAAATCGAGGCACAGGAGTTATACAACTAGCCCAGAAATTTAGAATATAAGCATCATGGTTTTGCCCAGAGATGTTCCTGGGTCTCCCTTCCGAGCTCAAACACCTTCATCTTCCTCTAACAAAATCAGTGCCACGAAAAGGCATGGTAGAAAAGACAGCAGCATAGATTTAGGTTCAAGGAAAAGAAAAGCACAGGCCTCCAGATGCCAGGCACAAGCCTAGCTAAATGCTTTCCACAGAGGAAAATAAAAATAAAGAGAATTTAAACTCCCCATCTATGAACTAATGCAAACATATGTACATGTAAAATGGGTCTCTGCTGCTGCTTATCTAGAGACACTGTAGACAGCTCAGGTTTACCACTGCTGACAGGCAATGAAAACAGCCTAATATACCGCCTGCTCTCACCCTTAAATCCCTTTTTGCAGATCAAGACAAATATGCAGCTCCTTTTCCCGAGTGCTCCAGACATTCCAGTGAAGGGGCACAGCACTGTGAGGGGCTGTGTGATTGGAATCCCGCTGCAGCACCCAGCCAGCACGGTATTTACTGCCAGGCTGTCAGCAGAGGCCAGGCAGCCCCAGGCTGCACTAGAAGTTGTACAGACCAGCGCTCGCTGCCTTCACTGGTGTGACATGTAGGTCCACACGTGTGCACCCACAGCAGTGCTGAGGGCAGCAGCAGGAGTATGTGACCCAGGGACACACAAGCTCTAACTCAGACCCTGACCCAAAGGCAACGCAAGCGGCTCCGCTCCCCGGTGCGGAAACCAGGCGGCCAAGGGGTTAAAGAGGCTGTTTTCCAGGGATACTGCTGGGCTGGGTGCTGCTCCCCGAATCCACTCCTGCACATGTGTCTTCCTGCTCTTCTGTCTTCTCAGGAATGATCAGAGATCCTGCCAGCTTGTTTCACACACACAGCTGCAGGGTGAATTGGGTGCCAGAGGTTAAAAGGCACTGAAGGGCCAGCCAGCTCATAGACAATGATCATTGGGCTTGAGAAAGAAATGGATGCGATAGCCCATCCATTCAGCTCTGCTAACCACCTCATCTCTGACCTCACAGGACTACATTTTTAAAGGCTGACAAGTAATTCAATCTCCAATTAACAATCTTAAATGGTGCAATGCATATTGCTGGATAAATGTTTCTGCAAGAAAATATCCAAGGGTGAAAGAGAATGCATCTGCTGGAGAAGGCCAAACCTGATGCTTCTGCAATTAAAGAATTCAGGTGCTCCTCAGTAAGACATGTGGTCAGCAGAGGCATGAGTGGATTTAGAAATGTTGCTAAATAAGTCAGAAAGGTAATGCTAGAAACAAACTAGTGTGAGAAAAGACTGCACAGGATTAAAACCTGTACCTGACATGAGCAGGATCTGTCAAAAGGGTAAACTTCACACCCTGGGAGTTCGGGTCTGCCGGGGAGGAACACTGAGTCGCGTGAAGGAGGAGGCTAAGGAGGGATGGTAGCATTAGCCCAAGGCTTAGAGAAGGCCGGGCACGTGCACGGAAGGGTTAAGTTTGCAAAGCAAGCCCTTCCCAGCAGAAAGGTTACTAGCACTCAAGGGAACAGTCAAAGATGCAGCTACCAGAGTCAGCTGCCACAGACCAGAGATCAAGAAAGGTCCAGCAACAGGGGTGGGGAAGTACAGGTTCCAGGATTTTAAAGCTGAGATACACAATACACACATGCTTGAATATTGGCAATATCTGACCTCGGCTCTTGTGCCTAATCTGATGGCCTGTTTTTAGACCAAAAAGAGCAGCCATGAACAGCAAAGCACCAGGCAGTAAGCTCCTGGCACCAGAAAATTTGCTTTAAATTAAAATTCTTTCCACCCCATAAAAGCTCAGAAACCACGTTTCTGTCCACCTGGAGCTGGACATGCCACCAGACAAAGGGAGCTGCTGCGGGTGACTGGCCCCTCACAGAGATCTCAGACTTGCCCCTTCTCAAGTCTCTGGTGAGGACCCCTCACTTCTGTTACTCCTCCTTTCACACACGTTATCCCAGCACCTTCGCATTCGGGATATAATTCCCCTTTTCCAACCCAGCAGCAGCTGGGCTGACATTTCTGAACTCTGCATACCTGACACCAAACAGCCTCCCAGGTCGGATTGGGATGAGCCACTCAGTCTCCCCTTCCCTTGCTCCTGAAGACAAACCTTTCCGGGGTGCAGAAAGCAGCGCACTTACCAGGGTGCAGAGAACAACGGGCTTCCTCCGTGTCCCCATCTCAACTAAAGGATGAGGACACCAGAGATGTGGTCAAAAGGAAATGCTAGATCTGGAACGGCACGTGTTAAAGCTCAGCCCGTGATTGCAAGAACACGGGCAATTAATAAGGGAAATTAATGACAAAACAAGGGGAAATGGGTTTAAGCTGAAAGAGGGCAGGTTTAGATTAGATATTAGGAAGAAGTTCTTCACTGTGAGGGTGGTGAGACACTGGAACAGGTTGGCCAGAGAAGCTGTGGCTGCTCCTCCCTGGAAGTGTTTAAGGCCAGGTTGGATGAGGCTTTGAGCAACCTGGTCTAGTGGAAGGTGTCCCTGCTGCTGGCAGGGGGGTTGGAACTGGATGAGCTTTAAGGTCCCTTCCAACCCAAACCAGTCTGTGATTCTATGAACACACACTATTTTCTGGATAACACAACCTGTGACACCACGTGCTTACAAAATACGCAGGCAGCACTGCCAACTCATTCTTCCCTTGGTTCTCCAAAAGCCACTCTCCCTGCCGCAACGGGAAACCGCGTTTCTTTTCCTTCAGAGGATCTTTTTGGAAAGCAGAGGCAGGATTCTAGCAGCCTTTTCAGCCTTTAAAAGACCATCCTCAACAGGTTTCTAGGCACGTCATATGCATATTAATCATTTTCTAGCACTCAAACCCATGATGACCAGCTGCTTTCTCTGTGCTCCTTTTCAGAAACTGAGCTGCTGGTTAGTTGAGACATTTCACTGCAAAGCTGGTTTGGCTGCAAACTTGATTGGCTCATATGTTTCATCAAAGATGAAAGATCTGAAAAAATGACAGCAGAGGGCTTGAATGGGAATCATTATGTAACATAAGTGCTGTTATTATTCAGAGCGTATCATGTGTTTATATCAAATGTAAGTGCCAGATTTTTATCCGAATAATTTCAATAATTGCAATTCCCATCCCACCATTTATATTATCTGCCAGAAACCTGAAGCAGAAAAGGCACATGCACGTACTATAAATAGCCTATTTTTCATAAACAGGCAGAAATGATCAGAATGAATGTCTCATCAGAAAACACAATGTAGGAACTTAAAACCTGACTGCTATCATGTGCAGTCAAGCCTCAACAGATCTCCCAGCGCTCATCCCTATCGCTCTGCTCTTCCCCCACACATATCCTGTCATTAGAGGGGAAAACAGCAGCGACCCCAAAGAGGGGAACCACGCTGAGGCAGGATGCCAGTGAGAGCCATGCTTCCAAACAAACCCACTCCAGCCTGTTGGCGTGGCAGTGTGAGCACAGACACCTCCTCTGCCCACACACGGACGGCACTTCGTGCATTTCTAATCTCTGAACGTGTGCAGTTCCTGCACTTTTAATTTACGAGCGTTCGGTGGGGGACCCTTCTGACTTGGGAACATATTGGCTCGGTCTAATGCTTGGAGATTATT